ATTATCAAAAATATATAACTTCAAATATAATGAACCTTAAGTTTTCTTAATGTTGTGACACTTTTTAAAATATAGTCAAATTTCACCTTACAATCACAATTCTGTAGTGATTACCATTTACACATTTAAAATGGAAACTATAAGATTAATTTATACTTTTCAAATGGGGTCAACAGACATTTTCTGTAAAGGGTCAAGTAGTAGCTATTTCTGATTTTGCAGTTCATATAGTCTCTGCCCCCGCTATTTAACTCTGCCTTTGTTTGAAAGTAGCCATAGATAGTAATACATAAAGGAATAGACCTGGACGTGTTCCAATAAAACTTTATTTATAAAAACAAATGGCAGGCCAAACTTGACTCATAGTCCATAGTGTGCCAACTCCTGCTCCCAAAGGTCAAACTTCAAACATTATAAATTCATATGACCCATGAGAAAATGTACCAATACAATAGCATTATTTCTCCCATTTTGATTATTCAATATTTTTATGTATAATTCTAATATGAAAATAATACTTTTGTATTTAACTAAATGCAGTTTGGCTGCCTTTAGAATTAGTTTCTGCCATATCAAGCTGTGTGGCCTTAGGCAAGTAATTTAACCTCTCTGTGCTAATCTTATTCATTTTTAAAGAAGGATATGCTAGTAAGTCTTCCTGTGTTTAAATCATATCTGTGCACAAGGGAAACATTTGTGTTATACCAAACAATATTGGAGTTAGCTTGCCATGTAATAAATTTTCCATGTGCTTTCTCAGCATACACAGGCTTCTTAACAACCAGGGAGGCTTCTGGCACAGATGTGAACTTGTTTCTCATGCTTTCCTGAACTTCTAGGACAACCACTTTACTATAGAGACTCTGATTATCGATGATTCTATTTCTTAAAGGGGACAGATCACTATTCTCTCTGCTCACTGACATCGGCACCCTCCACCAGATGGCATCTAACTCAGTTGAGGTTTGCATTTCCTTGGGTTCTTCTATGTAATTTTCTGGCCAACTCCTTATCAGCTTTGAACTTGATGGAATTCTGTGCTCTGTTCATATACATTTTGCCTCTCCAGATCACAAAATATTATTGGCGTATCTCACATGGGGTCATCCGACTTGCAGGCACATCTAAGACAGTGGTGCTTAGCTGAGAGGGCCACTATCTCCTCCCTGCACAGTTGGCATTTCCAGTCATCACAAGGCAACCAGGAAGGCCCTTGCCTTGTAGAAGAGAGGGGGTTAGGGAGATAGGATGCAGGGTGTGGGTGGTCCCTACAACAGAGAAATGTCCTTCCTCAAGGACTATGAAAGGGCTATGCCAGCACTCAGGCATCTCCCCTCTGTCAGGGCCATCCCTCGCTGTGCCACAGTCATCTTATCTGTTCTACTTCTTGTGGCATTTCTGGGCCTGCAGTAAGCCTGGCCACAGCCACCTCATGGTCACACTGGCCATGGCCTCTGGAGTCTGGAATTTGAATCCAGGTCTGCTTCCTTCCATTTCGACCCCACCTCCCTTCACCTCCCCTTTCCACAATTCTTCACCCTCCACCTCATCTCTCCGCCCATCTCCCTCATTCTCTCTTTCTATTCCGTGTGAGGAACTTGGGAACTAAGAGAAGAGCTTAAAGAAAGCACACAAAGGGGATGTGTATTGTAAGCCAAGGTGTTAGATTAAGGGCCCTTCAGAATTGGGTTAAGGACACTGGCCGAATGAGATGGAATCTGATGTGAGCCATCACTTGGGCTGCAGCTTGAACTCCTCTCGGTGACGGCAGTGCTCCCAGTGTATATATAGCAGGAAGGGAAAGGTCCTGACAACCGGGAGCGAGTAGGCAGCGGAGCAGGTGAAATGATTTAATCTCTTGTTAGAAAGCTAAAGGTAAAGAAAAGGAATTGAGAATGGTATGGAAAGATCTAAGAGAAATTGGATTTTAAAAATGTCTTTTCCTTTTTAAAAAATTTTATTGAATTTTTTAGGTGACATTGGTTAATAAAATTATATAAGTTTCAGGTATGTAATTCTATAATACATCATCTCTATATTGTATTGTGTGTTCACCAACCAAAGTCAAGTCTCCTTCTGTAAGCATTTCCCCTCCTTTTATCATCTTCTGTCAGGAATTCTGTGTGTGTGAGTGTGTACACATTTTCTGAGCATACTAGTATTTAGAGATGAGTGGTGTCTCTGGGGTTGGGAAGTACTTGGGACAGTGTTCCTCCCTGCTTCTTCTTGTTCTTAATTCTCAGCTCAGATATTTTTCCATTGATTTTTAGAGAGTGGAAAGAAGGGGGAGAGACAGAGAAACAGATGCTGAGAGAGACACATGGATTGGTTGCCTCCTGTGGGAGCCCCAACCAGAGCCAGGGGCAGCAACTACTTAATGGGTTTGGGTTTTCTTTCTTTCTTTTTTTTTAAAAAAAAATATTTTTATTGATTTCAGAGAGGAAAGAAGAGCGAGAGAGATAGAAACATCAATGATGAGAATCACTGATCGGCTGCTTCCTGCACGCCTCCTACTGGTGATCTAGCCCACAACCTTGGCATGTGCACTATTTTCTGAGCCAAACCTGCGAGGGCTGCTCCTTTTTTAATCCCACTGTGTTCACTGCAGGAGAAAGGGACTGGATTGGGGTTGAGACTTGAGGCCTTCGCAACAGCAGGCACCTTTCTGCTTCTCCATATCTCAGCATCAAACACCTGCCCCAAACCCTCCCTTGTAAGTCAACACAAGAGAACTTGCTGCTTTTTCCTGAGGGAATGAGTCTCAAAAGCCAGTCTCTGGAATTATAGGATCGGGCAGTGATTAGTGGGAGCAGGGAAAGCTTCCCAGAGGATGAGACATTGGGCTAGGGGCTGGAGGGACTTGGGCTTTAACCAGGGGGAGGTTCAAGAACTGGGAGGGGGAAAGGAGGACATAAATGTCAACTTTTTTCTTCCCCTCTTCCCTGCTCCTTCCAGCCTGGAGCCTGTCCCTTCTCTCCGTGTCATTAGCTACCCTAATGTCATAGCTGCCGTCATCACCGCGGCAGCCCATCCACCTTGTTTGCCTCCTGTCCTCAGGTCTGCTTCTCCTTTCCTCTCCTGTGAAAACTACTGACAAGTAGAACTTAGGGTCTTCATAGGGGAGATTAAGAAAATCCCAGAAACTCCAAATGCTTGAAATTGGGGAACAGGGAAAGAAAACCCAAAATGGGTTTCCAAGTATCCCACTGACTTTGACCTCCTAAAAGGGAAGAATTTGCCTTATTTTTTTTAATGCTCTGAATTTTTGGCATGGTTGTGGGCAAGGAGGCAGGTTTAACAGAATACTCTACAGACATATAACTACAATCATTTTATTCTTCTCAATATCAGTGGCAAGGAGTTTGTGAACTTGACTTTTATTTTAAATTGGGGTAAACTATGCGTACCATAAAATTTACTATTTTTTAAATGTACAATTATTGGCATTAAGTGCATTCACATTGTTGTACAACCATCAATCTACTCACTGTGGTGGAAAGGGGAAGTTTGGGAGTGTTGGGGGTTTTTGTGTGTGTGTGTTTAATATTTTATTGATTTTTTTACAGAGAGAAAGGGAGAGGGATAGAGATTTAGAAACATCGATGAGAGAGAAACATCGATCAGCTGCCTCCTGCACACCCCCCACTGGGAATGTGCCCACAACCAAGGCACATGCCCTTGACCAGAATCGAACCTGGGACCCTTCAGTCCGCAGGCCGACGCTTCATCCACTGAGCCAAACCAGCCAGGGCTGTTTGTTTGTTTTTTAATATATTTTATTGATATCAGAGGTGAAGGGAGAGGGAGAGAGAGATAGAAACATCAATGATGAGAATGATCAATCAGCTGTCTCCTGCATGCCCCCAAGGGTGACAAGGCCGCGACTGGGGCATATGCCCTAACCTGGAATAAAACTGCGACCTCCTGGCTCATAGGTCTATGCTCAACCACTGAGACATGCCAGGTAGGCAGTTTGGGAGTTTCTTTTTAACCACAAGCAGCTGTGTTACCCTCAGACAGTGATCTAACCTCTCTGAACTTCAGTTTCTGTCCATAAGATGGGAACAAATAAATGGTGTTTGATTTGAACTTAGTTAGACCACTGTAGGGGGCGCTCTAGAGTTTTCTCATCTCCAGCACAAGGCCCACCTTTCCTTCTCATTTGTCTGCATCTTCACGATTCTTGGTTTTATTTTTCATTTGTATAATGTATAATACATGCAGCGCCAAGACATTTTTTGTAAGTACAGTGTGACTGCCACTGTTACTCAGTAACTCGTTAGGCATTGACGGGTTGATGTGAGGAGCACCCCAACTCGGTATCTATTGCTGTTCCCGCCATACAGTTTACAGAACTCTAATCCATAAAAGCTGTTTGAAATTTCCATTAGGAACTTTGCACAAGTGGTTAAAATTAGTCATGCATTCTTGGTCTAAACGGCAGGAAGGGTATCTTTACTGTGAAAATGATTATGACATGTTAAAACTGTGTAATAGTAAGCAGACAGTTTTCCGAGCTGCTGGGTGAGTTCTAGAAATGCTCTATTTATTTTCTCTCTATTGACTTCTTTCTCTCAGGCAAGACTGCCAGTGCGTTGATTTGGAAAACAACTGAGGCCAGCGACTCCACAGCATTGACATTATGCGCTTCATTTTTAAACAGGGCCAACTCTTTTATTTTTGTTGTTGTTGTTTTAATTGCTTCTTCTTCCTCTAAAACACGAAGTGCACTTGTTTTTAAAGAGGGAACCTTAAAAAAATAGCAGCAGCCCTGGTTCTCTGACCCTACCCCTCATTTGACATTTCTAGAAGTACCACATGACCTCTAAGGTTGGGCAAAGGCAATGGCTTTGGGGTACGGAAAGTCTGCTGCCTGGGTTATTTAGTTACTTATTCCTTTTTAGTGCAGCAGTGTTTTTGGTGTTAGAGAGAAAGGCTGTGATTTTCTTTGATATTAAAAAACCAACCACTTACATTTTCCAAAGCCATTTGCATTCAGTCTGACGGCAGCTAAAAATGTATGTGGATTTTTCATCTGAGAGGTTTTCTCTATGCATATTGTTTACATTTATCAAACCTTGTCCTGCCCAGTACTTTATATTCATTGTAGCTTCCGGACCTAGCTGACAACATGGTCTATGTGAAAAACAAAGCAAAACAAAGCAAAGCACAAAGAGTCAAAAGGTCTTCTTCTGAGAGAATATGAAAAGGGAAGGCAAATGCGGCTGTGAAAATGGGCAGTGTTCCTGAGTGGAGGTTCTGCCTTTGTTCTGTCATCAGTTTGTCAGTTGTCAATCAAGCTCCTCCTCCCCCTTCAGCACTTGCTAAGCTAGTGGGAGAACCCAACTCTGGCTCTGCTCTGAACCTGCAGTGTGTAGACTACAAAGTCTAGGAGGATTTTGTGAAATAAATAAAATAACAGGAAAGAACTGGAAAAAGCTGATATTGTTTGGGATCACCAAAAAAAACACAGTTTAATTTTTTTATGGGGAGGGGGGACTTTCTTGTTTTTGATTCTTTACATTTGCTGACTTTGTAAAATGCCATTTATATGTTGCTTTTGTGAGCACTTACATTAAAAACTAGAACATGAAAAAACCCTATTCCTGCAATTTTGCTACTTTGCCACCAGGTGGTAGTAGTGTATCTTAATTAAGGAATATGAGGTGGTACCTATAGGCATTCATTTATTCACTAAATAACATTTGTTTAGTATGGAGTATGATTTAGATGCTGTGGATACAGCAATGACTAAGATAGGTTTGTATTCTCAAGACGCTTACATCTAGTGGTATATACTTTGTCTGCAGTCACAAATGGGAGGGTTTGGGGGATTGAATTTACCCATATTTGATCATAAATATAATCATACCTTGTTTACAAAAATGCATTTTAACACATTTCCAGTTGTTCAAGTTCCATGTTTAATAATGTTATCAAAAAG